CCTACACAGACCCTATCTCCCATTCTCATGTTCCTTTCCCTTCTGCACCAAATATATTTATTAGATTTTATTAGATAGCCTTTTCTGCAAGGCTTTTTTTTTTTTAATTTCTGATTCATTTTTGTTTTGCTGGTCACACCAGCCCAGGCTATCACTGTGACCCTTGCTTGCCTGGCACTCTGCCTGCATGCACACCTATGCATTCAAACCCCTCTCTCCTTCCCTCAGCTTACTTTATAACTCTGTCACTAACTTAGTTCTCTGACTTTTCTTCATATTGTCTCTACTCTTGATCTTTAGCCTCTAGAAAAACATTAAGCCGCCAATAAACCTGCCCTGATTATGTTGGTATCACTATGTAAAACAGTTCTCTGTCTCTAAGTCTCTCTGTCTCTGTCCCCCTAAGAAGGGAACTGGCTCCCTTGTGTCCACACAGCCAAACTCTCTTCCCTTCCTCTCTCCTCCAGGCACTTCCACTCAAACTTCCAGCAGTCTCTCGAATGAAATATTCCCTGAACTGTGCATCATTTTGGAGGCATTAGTCAGCTACGACCAAATCCATGCCAAGCTCATACTCAAGTACTCAAGTATTTGAACATCCATTCACCCCTCTGTCTGCATGATCCAGCAATTCTGTCCTCCATGTGGATCTGTAAGGGTTATTATCCCTCTTTGCCTTAAGAAACATATGTGGTAGAGACTAAGTTGTCTGGGGAAGAAGCTCAGATCAGCTTTGCTGAAGCGAACAGGAGATTTTAAATAGTTTGTAACCTGAAGAGCTAGAATGCCGCACCAGAGTCAAGAGCCGATCTGTGGGTTCCCTCATCTTTTGGTGCCTCTATTCACCACTTTTTTGCAACTTAGTCCCTCATAATTTAAGTGACTCTATGTGTAGGAGTAAGCAACTATACAACAGTAAAACAGTTACTTTCAAAAGAAAATAAGAGTCTGAGAAACAGATTGTTACTGGACTGCACATGAGTATAAGGCCTCAGGAGACATATCAAAAAAAGAATTTGAGGATGAAAAATTAAGAAAGACGTGTGTGTAGCACAGAGTTATTTTAGCTAATGCAGTTTCTTCAGGCAACTGTACTCATGATGACATTATCTAATCAAGCAAAGGAGCAAAAAATTGTAAGATATTTGAGCTTTTAAAAATGAATGTGGAGGTCACTATTTAATGGTAGATAAGCTAATTCATGCTCTGACAGGTTTTGTGTTTAAGAAGAGCAAGTAGAGAGAAAAAACAATGTAAAGGATTACTACTTGCTCAGTTACTTGTATTTTAACATGTTGAGCTGCTAAAATTTCCATTATGTACAATAGGTTCATGCAGTAAACGTTATACCCCACATTGCAGAACTCATTTGTGGTACGCGGATGCTTTCATTTAGGCGGCTAATTTATGAGCAAAGTGGGCACCAGTCAACTATGCATAAGAAGGCAAATGTCAGCCAAGACGTTTCTAGCAGTCCTACCTGTTGGCGGGATGATTCCAGGAGACATGAGGCCAGGGACAGAATGTGGCATGATGTGGGAATTCTCTGGGGAGGTGACACTCTGAGTCCTCTTAGGAGGCCTTCCAGGTCTCGAA